GGAGCGGTGAACAATTCAAACTGTAACATGGTGGCAGTGGGGGGGGGGTCAAGGGAGAAGGGCAATGCCAGTGAAGGTCCTTATGGGGGAAGCTGTTGGTATACTCTGCCGCTAAGTGCCTTTCATCTCTTCAAAGGTGCTGCCAAGACTACAGCACTTACAAGTGTGCTCTAAGAGCTAAGGATGTTGTAAAGTCCTTAATGGCATTAGAACAATCGCTGTGTGTTAAGTCGAGGAAGCCAAGTGTAAAAGGGCTTTACAGGACAGTCAGGCTCCTGCTGCTTGAGGAATAGGCAGACTGTGGTGATGTGGGGGCAGATGGGCGGGGGTGGGGGCACAGACGAACGGGGGACGGACACACAACACTGTTCCTTTTCCTTTTTATTCATTGTTAGTTTTCATAAATGACACAACACGACAGACATGCATTCATGCGCATTGAGAAAATTTAATAGAAGTTACTCGTTTTAAAATGTTAAAAGACATACTCAAGTACATACATGCTCTGCCTAACACACACACACACACACACAGAGAGACATACAAAGAGAGAAAGATAGGACATCGTTTTGCAGCTTTTAGTACCTCAGAGGTCCTTCTGCCCCCACTGTATGCATGCAGAATTTTCTTTGGGGCAGCAAGTCTCTGAACCCAGAGACTCTTCTGTACAAAAACACATGGAATCCTTGTGGGTTTCCTCTCGCCTCCTGGAAAGCAGACAGATGAGACCTAGCTTCACTCTGCAGAGGGAAAGACAGGCCATGATGCGGCTGCCTGGCTCTACTCCGAAGAGCTTCTGCCGGAAGTGAGCAGGGGCAAGGAGAGGCCCTTGTCATTTGGCAGTGGCACCGCCCTGCTTACTAAAGGCAGCACCCAGAGCTCTGATGACTGCCTCCACCATCAGCCCTACACAGCCTCATTTTCCACTACCCCCCAGGACCGACAGCACAGACGTGTCCTTGTACAGGACAGATTCATTGCAAAGGACAGGAGGGGCATGCAGCTAGTCAGCTAGTCGATGGGTCTACACCAGCTCGCTGTTGCAGAGCCTAGGACTGAATAGTGAGAACAATAGGCAAAGCAACTCACTGTTGGGACTCCCAAGGGGACATGATAGAACAGCAAAGAGAGAGCTCAGAATGATAAGTGGTTTATTGACTACTCTATGGAAGAACGATCTATCAGTGCGGACAGTGACGTGGCCGAAAGCATGAGCTTTAGAGAATAATGCAGTATTGACTGAACCACAGGATGGAAATTTAGAGCGGGTATGGCCAGGACACAAGGCTTTGGGGATTGTGTGAACTGGGGAGCAGTTGGTCTTTTTGGCGGAGGGAAAGAGGGTCCCAGATATCTGGAAGGACATTGAGACACCATTGCCACCTGTCTGAGCATCTGCTTCATGTTCCTCTTTCTAGGCTTCTCCTTGGGTGGAGGGGGCTAAGCAGAATACCTTTTTCTCCCCTTGAGAATTCTACAGAATTAAAAACTGGGCTCTCCAGTCACTGTGAAAGATGAATGAACTGTCTTCCTGTCCTCCTCCTCCCCTTGAGATGTAGCTTACGCCGGGCTTGAGTTCACCCTGTAGACGAGGATGACACTGAGCTTCTGCCCCTCCTGCCTCAAGTTCCTATTGAGATTGTGGCTTTCCCCACTGAGTTCATGAGGTGCTGGGCTGGAACTCAGGACTTTGAGCATGCTGGGCAAGGACCCTACCTACTGAGCTACACCCACAGCCCATATGAGAGCCTTTTATGTGGCTCTTAGAAAGCATCCTGTCTTCCTCTAATCCATTCATGCTGAGGCTAACCACATTCTGGCTTAGTTAGCCTACACGGGTTCTGCCACCTCTGAAGGAGGGGCAAACCACCCTTTTCATACGGGCCTCACAGGCTTGCTGAGAGGCCCAGACAAGAACACACAAGTGAACAAGCCCTGAAAAAGAGCATTTGAGAAGCCCTGCATGGTCAGTTTTTGTTTATTTGCTTTGAGACAGGGTCTTGCTAATGGCTGAAACGGATCTGGAACACTGTGTGGCCATAGCCCAGGCTAGGCCTTGAGGGGATTATCCCGTGTCTGTCATTTAAGAGCTGGGGTCACAGACTTGTATACCTGTCTGGTTAACACTGCTGTCGACGAAAGGCTGGACGACAATCCATGACCTTCCTCAGGAGTGCAACACCTTCAGCCATTCAGGCCTCGAGGGAAACACCGAACCCCCTTTGTCTCAGACCCAATTCCCTTTAAAGAATGGACAGAGATTTCTTATGCAATCCATTAGGATGAGGGGACTTCAGTTCTCTTCCTGGCTTCTGCAGGGAGCTTTGGTGTCTCGGGTTTAATCCATTCATTCTGCCTGAGCTACTTATCCCCACTATTTCCCAGTCGCTATCAGACTCACTCCACACCCACAATTTTACACCCTCAATCTATGCAGCAGAAGAATGGGGGGGGGAGTATACTTGCTCATGAAAGAGGCACATTCTATTACACAATTCAGTTTTTATTATCATCATCATTATGAAGAGCTAAGTCCACAGTCCAGTTTCCAGGCAACGTAAGAGCAGATGCTTTGTATGTAGGACACCTGCGTACAATGCGGTAGCATGGGGCTTTTTTTGGTTTGGTTTTGTTTTTCTTCTGGACCTCTGTTAAAAGGCAACCACGCAGTTCAAAACTGCGGTCACAACAATGCAATCTTCAAGCAATTAAGGCCATTGGATTATTGAGCCGGTAGACTACAGGTGTTCTCCTTCCACCTAAGGCTCACTGAAAAGAAAAAAAAAATTACCCAGAGCGAAGCCACCTGCTGGGTGAAGTCCGATTCAGTCTGTGTGACTTGGGGGCCCACGCCCCAGCAAGTGGCAGGGGCAGGGTCACTCCAGCATGTGCTGGAGCAGCGAGGGGTCTGCCTCCACGGCCTGGAGGCCCTTGTGCAAACTTAGGAAGGTGGCCTGTTTCCCGTAGCGCTGGCGCCAGCGGACAAACGCCTCCACCACCTGCGACTGCACGTTGTGGGGGTGGTTGGCCTTGCAGCGGTAGATGTCGGTCTGGGACAGTCCCAGAGACAGCACCATGGGCTCCCACTCCGGGCCTAGCTTCTGGGCCAGCTGGTTGATCTGCCGGTCTGATGGGGAGCTGTTGAGGATGTGTGAAGGGATTCCAGCCGTCCAGTCACCTGAGGAGGAAGGGACAGGGAGGTGAATGAGACATGCAAGCACCTCAGACGGGGAAGGCTTGGGAACGGAGGAGATGGGCCAGATAGGCAGCTACTCCTGGTCTTCCGGTACTGCTTGGTGCAGTGGGCTGAAAGTGCCGTGTAGCATCCCTGAAAGTGTTCGCTGCAGAAGATCCGAGAAAAGCTGCAGAGAAGAGAAATCCACGGATGGCCACTTATTTCTGCTTCCTTGTGTATACACACAAACACGAATCATGCCCACGGACAGGCTGTTTTGTTCACAAGCTTTTTTTGAGTTCCATCTCTTGTCAGAAGCCACACCAGGAGCTCTGGCTGAAGGCCACACTTCCCTGGGTACCAGCCTGAGGGCCAGGGGGGTGATGCTCCAAGCCACAAGTCCTGCTGTCCCTGCAGAAGGGGCTCCAGCTGGGGGGGGAGGATCAAAGCCAAACAGCAGCTCCTCTCCCCTGCACAAGGAGAAAGTGTCACCTCCCCATCCCCATCCCCGCTATGAAAAAACAAGCCATAGAGACAAGAGTTGACGGGAGAGGAAAGCAGAGGCCATTCGAGTGGTCTCACCATCCCAGTCATAGAGAGGGCTCGGAGAGCCTGACCTTAGACCTCCTAAACAGGATTCCAATCCTGTAGACCAGAGTTTCTATCCCACCAGAGGCCCGGCTCCTTTAAGAGAGAACAGAAGTGAGGAGAAATGAAGGCCAAAAAGCTTCTCAGATCAGCAAATAAAATACAGTGTAACACACAGAAGTGGATGACTGTGGAGAACAGGACAGGCTTGGGTAGGGCAGGAAGAGAGGAAGGAAGAGAGGGGGAGGAAGGGAGAAGGGCAGACCAGGAAGACCCACACCACCGAGCAGTCATCTTGTGTCTCTCCTGGCAAGGACCACGTGGGATGTTATCTGTGGTGTGTGGGCTGGGTTGGGGACGTTTCGGCTGGCAAGTGGCCACCTCTAAGGATCTGTGTGAACTCCGGTCCTTGAAAACAAAGCCTGCGGAAACATCTTTTGGCTGAGGAACTGACTTCTGGGAGAGGAAAGCTAAGCACCTTGAAAAGCATTCATTCTGACAGACAGTCACAAAGAACACCCTGTGTTCCCAGAGAGGCAGATCAAACTGGCTATTTGAGCTTCCTGAAGCCAATTTCCAGGATGATGACGGGACAGTCTACTCCAAAGATAAAGGTCACGCTGCCAAACACAAACGCACCCTGCTTACTGTGATGGGAAACTTGATGTGATTGTCACGTCTGGGAAGGCCAACAACGAGACAGCCAGCAACAACTGAGTTCTCACTGAATGAACTGGGCAGGAGGTGGGGTGGACACCCTCTGGGTCTGGGGTTAGGAGGCCTGCACAACCAGGTAGCTTGGCTAAGTCACTTAGTGCTTCCCAGATAGTTCTTTTATAAAAGATAAAACCAGACGGTGCTCAAGGCGTCATTAGGTGTAAAGTGGTACTATCTCTCAGAAGCGACTCAATTATTTTTTGCACACCCGTGATTTGGGGTTCTCATTAAATCAACCACTGACCATTTATCTCTCTATCCCTTTGCATGCCTGTTAAAGCAGAAGCAGGCCTGCAAGCTTTTGAGAATGAATTTCAATTAATTATTTTTGTTTTGTCAAGACATCATGCTTTCTGAAGAGAAAAATAAAAGCGAAAAGAATATTTGGTACAATAGTTTTTTTTTTCCCAAAACTATATAAAACATTTTAGAAGTTCTTATGAAGCCGATTCTTCCACAGCCTCACAGGGACCTGCCTGACACAGGTCTGGCTGTGTGTTGTTTATCCTTCCCCGAACTCTGTCCTCTGTCCACAGCTGTATGGTAGCTGTCACCTCTCTGTGGGACACATCTTTGGTCAAGTGCAAGTCTCAGCAAGCCATTCTACCTGCCCATTCTCAAATTCAATCCCCACTTACTCTGATTCCTTTGTCCACTCACGACCTTCAACCTCTCATCCCCTACTTATGTGTTGCTGCTGCTTCCCCCTCCCAGGTCCTGCTTACTGTCCCGGACAACACAGTCAACGCCTCACCACCAGGGAGCTCTGCCCATTGCCCTCTGATACACCCAGGTACCCAGAGCAAGGCTTGGCATACAGCAGTCCTTCCCTTGATGATTCAGGATAAGGGAGAAAATACAAAGGGTGATCTACCTCAATTACAACCCTCCTTTAGCTCCGCTCTCTACGGTACAGATACAGTGCTATTGAGTGCACACATTCATGCACTTATAAAACAAAAAAAGAAAAAAAAGAAAAGAAAAAGAAAAAAGAAAAAGAAAGGGGGGGTCTGTTGAATACTCCAGAAGGGGAGAGAAGTGAACAGCAACGCCAGATCTACCACAGAAACAACTAGAAAAATACAAAGCCCACACAGAAAGTTCTTTAACCCGCCCCCCCCCCCCGGTTTTATAAGGAGAAATAAAGAGCATTTATTACTTTGAAAAAAAGTTTACTTAAAATTCAGAATTCTTTTCTCAATTTCCTCTTGTTCTGGTTGTGCTGGCTAGTTTTATGTCAACTTGACACAAGCTAAAGTCATCTGAGACGAGGGAGTCTAATTGAGGAAATGTCTCCATAAGGTTGGGCTGTAGGCAAACCTATAGGGCATTTCTTACTTAGTGATTGATGGCTGAGGGCCCAACCCATTGTGGTGGGACCTGGCTTCTACAAGGAAGCCAACTGAGTAAGCCAGTAAGCAGCACCGCTTCATGGCCTCTGCATCAGCTCCTTCCTCGAGGTTCCTACCCTGTGTGAGTTCCTCTCCTGTCTTCCTCGATGATCAACAGGGATATGGAAGTGTAAGCCAAATAAACCCTACCCTCCCCGACTTGTTTTTGGTCATGGTGATTCATTGCAGCAATAGTAACCCAAACTAAGGCACTTGGTAAGTTTGGAAAAGTTAAATGTGATTTTTAGACTTTAAAAATAGCATCTTTTGTAGTCTATAACTACATCTCCCACAGTCTGTAACTACATTTCCCATAGTCTGTAACTACATCCCCCATAGTCTGTAACTAGTTTCTGTAGTCTGTAACTACATCTCCTGTAGTCTGTAACTACATCTCCCATAGTCTGTAACTACAGCTCCTGGGTGTTCTTCTATTAGAAGCACCCCCCTTTCTCTTTATCCATCTATCCATCCATCTACCCACAGTTACATGCTTAGACAGATACTCCCTTAATGATGATGATACTTGGTGAGGTTTTCTTTTTTTTTTTCCTTTTCCTTTTAGATGTGGCTTGGATTCCACCACATGCAGAATTTTTATGGTAAAGTCATGAGAAACTGAGACCACTGGATTTTCACATGAAGGAAATGGAGAAACTTGCCCTGATCGCTACATGCTGCTTCCAGGAAGGACTGATTTCTGGGGCAGCTGCAATGGATTCAAGAATTGCAGGCCTCAAGTCTCACGTGACATGTGACTGGTCTGAAAAGGCGCAGGGCATGCTGTTGCCCGGGAGAGTGAAGCAAACTGGAGCAAACCACTTGGCTGTGGAATTCTGTGGTTCTTGATAAGCTTGTACTTTTCTAGACTTTGCAGTGTCTCAATGGTGTGAGCAAAGTGACGTCAGTGATATTTTTGTCTCTCACGGGTACACAGCTCACTTCATGTAAAATGCAAGGACTACATACGTTAATCACACAAATTCTCACAGAGGCCCACCATTACAGCTAGGCACGTGTGAGGCACTGGCGAGAGACCACCAGGCGAATGGAGCCGATGATGAGAATTGCTTAGGGACCGTCTTAAGTGGCTTGAGCACCACTGTTTAGCCAAACTCGTGTATCAGGCGAAGCTGAAATAAGAGAACTGAAGCCACTTGCTTACTCCAGTCGTAAGTTCAGCCACGGAGTCACGTGCTGTCCTGTCCTAACAGGCACCCATGCCTATGACAGCTGCAGGAAGCAGCCCAGGTCGCAATTCTGGTGCACATTCTGCAGAGCTCAGAAAGAATGCATGCGCAACAGTGTCTACTGTTAATTCCTTTAATAGTCATGAAAATAGGAATTTCTCCAGCCTCCTTCCCTCCCTCTCTCTCGTATATGTGTATATAAACATATATATATATATATATATATGTATGTATATATATGCTTTAGTGTGTTTGAGATACAGTTTCTCTGTATAGCCCTGGCTGTCTTAGAACTCGCTCTGGAGACTAAGCTGGCCTCGATCTAAGATGTCCGCCTGCCTCTGCCTCCCGAGTGCTGGGATTAAGGTATGCACCATCACCACCACCCACCCTTTTTCTATACTTTTAACCAAGAATTTACCTCGAAAGATATGGATGTATTATAAGCAAGTGCATAAATGTGAGAAGAGCTTAACAGAAAAAAGAAACCACCTTCGCAATATGTTGCCCTGCTTTATTTTAATCGTGTTTTAGTAACTGAGAAATTGATTTTGCATCCTAGTAACTGACAGCAGGCAGGTTTGCCTAGCCCTGCTCTAGTGTATATTCAGGGAGCTAGGGGATAGGGTAGGGTCCGAAGCTCATCCATCATTAGCCGATTTGGGAGAGAGGGGGAGGTGCCACCAAGATGCTTTGCTTTGCCAATCCTGAAACCACCCCCCTACCCCCGACTGGAGCAGGAGTCCTAGGGCCCAGGAGAGGAATGGCTTCCTACCCAAATGCTTTCTGGCATATGGTGAGTACTCAATAAGCAATTGTTGGAATGGGTGTTTAGTCTTACTGCAACTTGATGTGCCATGTTTTGTCAATACTCAATGGGAGACCTGCCCTTTCCTAACCAGAAATGGAGGAGAATGGATTGGGCCGTGGGAACAGTTGGGGGTATTGGAGAGAGACTAGGAGGAGAGGGATGGGAAACTGTGGCCAGGATGTAAAATAAATAAATAAATAGATAGATAGATAGATAAATAAATAAATACATTTATTAAGCAAACAAACAAAGGAAGAAACCCTTTAAGGAACTGATGTAAGAGCTGACCCTGCGAGCATATAAAAA